CTTTGAGCATATTTTAAACATTGGCAGTTATGTAGAAGACATGTCCCAAACCACTCGCCTGCACCAAATCACCTATCCTTAGGTGACATTTATTAAGCCTGTCCTATATGGCAGGCAGGGGCCTAAGCTTTTCACATGTATTAGCTCATTGAGTATTCACAAACAACACTGGGAGATACGCTACTATTATCCCTCAATTTTAGGTGAGGAAACTGGGACTCAGAGAGGTTAAGTCACTTAGTCAAGGTCACACAGCCAGAAACTTATTTGACTATTTTATTAAACAAATATCTCCTGAGTACCCACTCTGTGTCAGGCCTTGGAGGTAATAGGACAAATATACAGGTGTGCTCCGAGCCTTAAAGAAAGAGTACATCCTTGCTTCTTAGTTTGGGGAGGAGGATTCTAGAAAGAGGAAACAGCGTGAGGAAGATTTCTGGGCTTCAGGAGCTGCATGTAGCTTGGTGCAGCTAGAGCTTGAGGTGCATGTTGGAAAGAGGTAGCAGTGGGGCTGGGAATGGTAGGCAGGTGTTGGGGGGCACTGTGGGTCAGGCATGAGCTTCTGGGGCCAGGTAAGGGTTTTAAGCTGAGAGGTGACTACATGGCATTTTTTTCCCAAGTGCTCCTGCTGGGAGGAAGAAGGAGAGTGTCCAAACTTCTTGGACAAAAAAATGATCCTTGGTAAGAGGACATGTCCTGACCATAGGAGGGAGGCAGCTTCAGCCCGGGGTCCCACCACTGAAGAATCTGGGGCTGTGGGGCTTGATGAGTGACCCTCATACCTCCAGCATAGGGCTGATGGTCACTGCCTCTGGCTAATAGCGAGATGACCTGGTTCGTCTTGGGATATGCACACGCTAATTGCGACACTGTTGGGAAACAGGTGTGGCTGTTCTGGTTTCAGTATCTTTGGGCCTTACTTTATTTTATGCTCCCACAGGCAAATGCTGAGGTTTGGGGAAGGGCTAGAGGGAGGGGGTGGAATGGCAGTCGTTTGGGAGTACCACTGTTACAGAAGTAGGGTTTGGCTTCCAAAGCCCTCTGGGTCTTCTGGAAGAAGGCATTGGCTGTATAGGTGACTCTCCTGGCTGGGGAAACAGGTGGGCTCTGGTGACATCAGGGACGAGGACAGGGACAAGTGCTGCCCCAGACATGCCTGCCCTTGGGGGGGTGAAGAAGGCTTTTTTGGACCTTTGCCTTTAGAACTGTGTTTTGCTTTTGCAGATAGTGGTCTCTGGATACAGGGATGAGGGTGGGCAGAGATTCTTGGAAATGAAAATTTAGCCTGGGTTTAGAGGCCTCAGGAGTGATAGGTCCTCCTTGTCTTCTGCTGCCCCCCCCACCCCCTGCCAGACGTCCATGACTCTGCAGTGGCACCTCTACGAGATGGCACGCAGCCTGAGGGTGCAGGAGATGCTACGGGAGGAGGTCCTGGCGGCCCGGCGCCAGGCCCAGGGAAACTTGAGCACGATGCTGCAGCTGGTCCCGCTCCTCAAAGCTAGCATCAAGGAGACACTGAGGCAAGCCCAACCCTCCCTGCCCTGCCCGCCTCATCCCCCAGATCCCTGGCCAGGGCACGAAGGAGGGGCTTGGTAGCAGGAAGCGAGAAGTCCAGGCAGACAGCTGGGAATGGGGAGGGAGGAAATAAGAGTTCGGGTCCTGTCTCCAGAATCCCCCTGGGGTGCAGTAGCTGGGGCTGAGCCACCATGTGAGGTGTCCAGGTCTCAGGGCATCAGCTCCTGAATGCCTTCCTCTGGCAGACTCCACCCCATCTCCGTGACCCTGCAGAGATACCTTGAAAATGACTTGGTTCTTCGGAATTACAGGATTCCTGCCAAGGTAGGTGCAGCGTGGGGCGGGGGAGGGCTGCCAGCTCTGCCAGCCAGACAGAGGAGGCTGGGGGCGGACTGTAGTTGCACACAGACGGTGGCAATGGGGGTTTCTGTCCCGTCTTTCTTCCTTGGAGCTGGCTGGTATGGTCCTTGACAGCACCAGTCCAAGTGTAAACGAAGGGCATAGTGGGTGACGATCTCTGGAAGGTTGCCTGAGTCCAGGGTTAGGAGGGAGGCCCCACGGCCTGCCTGGGTCTCGGGAGCCCCCTGGGGCTGAGCAAAAGGCAGACAATCCCGGGGGCCATCCCCGGCCTTGAGTCTTCAGTCATGTCCAGATGATGGGTGAGGCTCAGGGAGGGCTGGGGCCTTTTTCAAAGTCGAGCAGCAGGGAGTGTCCCGTGCCGGGAGGCGGGACAGCCTGGCTGCGGGTGGGAGCGGGGAGCTGAGTCGTGCTCCAGGCTGTGAATAGATGAGGCCTATACCAGGCCTCTGCCCACCTTGTCGCCAGACGTTGGTGCAGGTGTCCACCTATGCCATGGGCCAGGACCCCACCTTCTTCTTCAATCCGGGCAAGTTTGACCCAACCCGATGGCTGGGTAAAGATAAGGACCTCATCCACTTCCGGAACCTGGGCTTTGGCTGGGGTGTGCGGCAGTGTGTGGGCCGGCGGATCGCTGAGCTCGAGATGACGCTCTTCCTCATCCACGTGAGTCCAGCCGGGGACATCGGGGCAGCCTGGGCTGGCCGTGGACCGAATGAAGGCACTGACCCTCCTACCCCCACTTCTGTCCGGAGCCCGGGGAGTACAGGGCTGGGGACATCTGTCTCCCATGACTTGCCCTCCTCCTCCCCCACAATTTTGGGCTAATCTGCTGTCTCCTTTTTTGGGCTAATTTGCTTATTACCCATTGGTGTCCCCTGGCCATCTGCTCCCTCCAAGTGGTGCCAGGATGGGTGTGGGGTGGGATGAGGTTTTGTAGAAGCTAAGGTGAATTAAGGGGACAAAACACTAGGGGTGTATTTTCACGCACTGTGCCAGGTAAATAGGAGCTGGCTGTTGACACCTTAGAACTCCTTGAGTCAGGTGAAACAGGCAATACCTACAGGTGAATGAGCCTGGCCCCGGGGGAGACAGCCCCTCCCCATCTCTCCCCTAAGCCCACCACCTCTTTCTCAGATTCTGGAGAACTTCAGAGTTGAAATGCAACATCTCAGTGACGTGGGCACCACATTCAACCTCATCCTGACGCCCGACAAGCCCATCTTCTTCACCTTCAGGCCCTTCAACCAGGACCCACCCCAGGTGTGATTAGAGAGGGTGGGCACCGCCTCTGCCACCCATCAAGCCAGCAGGGGTGCTGGAGGGAGGCCCGAGGGGGTGGCACCCCTGGTGGTGTCTGCTTGTCAGCCCTCGATCCCCCTCCCCTGCTCCTTTTGGACTAGCTCTGAGAAGAGAGAGTTGGTGCTCCATGGTCAGCTGCCCCAGCTCAGCCAGGGCACCCCTCTTTCCTGCCACCTCTTCCCCCTCTCCGCCTGCCCCAGGGAGGCAATAAATGGCTGAACTACGTGAAGTGTTTTCATTTCTATCTGACCCCCAAGGTAGCCATCACTCCTGTGGAGATGCTCCCTGGCCTGGGTCAACAGTGGGATCTGAGCATGAATGGGGGACCCGAGGCAGCTGCGCTTGAAGCTCTCTCTGCTGGGACCCCCCCCCCCACACACACCTACAGCAGCTCAGGGGCCAGTAGGGTCGCCCTCCTTGCTGCCTGGGGTGGGGGTGAGGCAGAGAAGGCAGGCGGCGGGCTATTGCCACGGTGCGGGGAGCTACTCAAGCAGTAGGCAGAGGGATAAAGGACCTGGTTTCTGTTGAGGAAACAGGGTGGCCTGAGAGGTGTGGGCCAATCCTGACTTCTGGGCCACCTAGCAGAAGTGAGGCTCTTGCCAGGCTCTGATTGGCTGATCCTTGGGTGGGAGTTCCCGATGGGGTCTTGAGGACTCCCTGCTAAGGCCCAGCGAGAGATTTGGGGGAAGCTAGGGCCGAAGCCTGTGAGTGAGGGTCTGGTGTGAGGTGACTGACCTAGAGAATAAGAGGCCAGCGTGCTTTCTTTATCCCACCTGACCTTTCTCTGGGCTTCCCCAGGCCTCAGCTTCCTGTTCTAGGGGGATGTGTCCACTTGCCCAGGCTCTAGGCAAGAAGACTGTGGCTGAGTTTGGTACCTTATTTGGACTGTCGGACACTGGTCCCAATTTCAGCCCTCTTAACCCCTTCTGAGTCCATAATTCCTGATCTGACCGGGTGCCCGATCCTTCCTGGCCCTCTGCTAGCCAGGTCTAAGTCCTGCAGGCAGACAGGGGAGCTAATCCTGCTCAGGACAGTGGCCCTGCAGCCTTGGTCTCTTCTACCAGCATCTGTAGGCTCTGAGTCCACTCTTGGAGACTTTCTGCTTTTCCCTACCATACAATCCTCTTTCTTGTTGGCTTTCTCTCTCCTTCCTGCTTCCTTTCTCTTCTCTGGGCCCAAGTTTTCTTTGACTCAGAAGTGTTAGAGCTGGAAAGGGGCTTACCATCAAAGAAGGCAAGCTCTGCATGGGATAGATGGGGAAATGGAAGCCCAGAGAGGTTGCTAGAGTCACTCAAGGTCACACAGCATGCTTGCAGCTAGAATTCAGGCCTCCCGATTCTCAGCGGAGGGCTCCTTCCCTGGGCCCCATCTGCTTTCCTGTCCCTGGCTGTATTTGGACACAACATTGCCAGCTCAGCCTAGCCCGGTAAATGGGGGTATTTCACACTAATATGTAATTGATCGCCACGGGCCAGCTTTAAGTCTTTCTCTTCCTGAGAAACAGATAAACCAAACTTGGAAGAAGGGATTTCAGATATGAGATGTTTGGGGGCAAGTGGAAAGTCCCAGCCTCCCTCACATTTTCCAACAGAGCTGGCCTCTGGTCATCTCATTTCTTCTGGAGGTCTGGAAGGGTTCCTGCTTTGGAAGGCCTCTTCTCCCCCACCTTCCTGGGTCCACTATGGCCCCTGACTCTCCAAAAATGGTAGTTTCTCAGATAGGCAGGAGACTATAGGGCTGCAGTGGAGGGCCTGGGTTCAGAGTGGGGTCTGGCAGGAGGAAGCTGGGTCCCCTTGGCTGCCCTATTCCAGGAAAGAGGTGAATGCTCACTGACCTATGGCATTTAATACAGTCATCTGGGGGGTGGAATGAGACTCCCCAGCACACAGAGAGGGAGGCCTGCTCCAGCTACTCAGGTCTGCTAAGACTCAGGTCTTTTCCGAGTTTGAGGGCTTGTTGAGCTTAGTCTCCGAGCTGGGCATCAGAGGGTCCAGCTTCGAGGGTCGCCTGTGGTCCTTGGCGTGGGCCAAGGAGTCCTGCGGTATGCAAAGCAAAGGGAGGTGAGTACGCCCCTGCCCCCGGTGAGGGGACCCATCAGAGAGCGCATCTTGCCTGGCAAGCCAGGCCTCAGAGGATCCAAATACAGCGGGCCCTGCCTTCACAAAGGATTCCAAGCCTGTTTCGCCTGGGGCCGAGCTTGAGGGGCAGTTGTGAACAGGCCTGTTTGTGCGGAAGCCAGCAGCCTTTCTCTCTGGCACCGTGTGCCCCCACCACCGGAAGGTGGGCAGCGTTGAAGGGCCCAAGAGGATGCGCTCCCGGGAGAGCCTTCGGGGCTCTGGACTTGGGTGGGGGCCACAGCTACTCTGCCTAGGCGCAAACCCAGTGCTAAAGTACAGCCAGTGCCAAAACATTCCAGAAATGCCTGCAGGGGCAACCCTCATCCATGGCCATGTCCCCTTGATTCTCACCACCACCCTTGGGAAAGGGTAGTCTCGGGGGGCTTTCTATTCCCCTTGGGCAGGTGGGGCATGGCGACCAGGCCAGGGCTCCTGATGGTAACAGGGCAGGAGCTGAGCGCAGGTCTTCTGGACAGTCCTTCTCAGGGCCCAGGAACTCGGGGTCGGGGGTGGCAGCTGCCAGCCGCGCTGCCTGCACCCCACGGATCTTGTCCAGAGAGATCACTCACAGGCAGGTCAGTGACGACGGAGTTTGAGGGGCGGCCCAAGCCATATTCTTGCTCCTGCAGCCGTGTGGCCAAGTCCTGCCTCTCACGTCCCCAGCGTCGGGCCGAGTCCTCTAACTGCAGCCATGGAGAGGGACAGATAGGGACCCGCTGCGCAGCAGGGCCCATCCCTGCAAGCAGGACAACCAGAGCCCGGGCAACGTGGGCCCACTACCTTCTGGAGACAGCGGGCATGCCAAGGGTGGGTGGGGAGGGGCCAAATGACAGTCCGATTAAGGCACAGATGGGCCCTCCTTGAGTTCCAACAACATACTGGGCCCTGCCCTTGGGCACACACTGAGCCACAACCCTGGTCATACTTGGAGCCTGACTCTGGTCAAGGGTTGCTGAGTGGTGAGCCTGCGCAGGCTGACTGACGCCAGCCTGGCTCGCCTACCTGGCTTTCCAGGGATAGGATTCGGCTCTGAGCTCGTTCTAGCTTGGCCAGAAGGTTGAACTTGTCTGAGGTACTGGCAAGGAGATCCTGTGGGCAAAGCAGAAGCTCACACCTGGCTCCCACTGGGGACTGCAGCCACGTGGGCTCAGGAGGCCGTGAGCTACTGAGGCAGAAACCAGCCAGGTGTGAGTTCCCAGCTCAGCTCCCCGACGCAGAGCCTCAGACCCAGGGCCAAACCCTCTTTCCCGAGGTTGACCTGAGATGGCAGCTGCTTTTTTCACCGCTGTTCTCCCCACAGATTTTGGTTATATGGAGTTTCTGCACATCACTTTCTAAATGTAAAATGTACTAGGCAGAGTAGCGCACAGAAAGGACTCTTGAACAGGGAGTCTTTTGGTAAAGTGAGGGCTCCCCGTCCCCGCACTTTACCCAGACGTCCGCGCACCAGGGGAATGTTCAAACAGAACTCATCTCCTGTAAGTCCTGGGATGAAGAGAAAAACCCTCCTGTGTCCCCTGCCCACCCCTCTTCTGTAATTCCAAATGTCTTGTCTTTGGGTTTGCGTAAAGCAGGGGTGCCTGCAGCAGCCTTGGAGATGGAGCGGGGCCGGGGCACTTCCGGGGCCAGGGGCACCCACCTGTGCGGGCAGGGCCTCTGTGCCCTTGGAGTGGCCTGGGCCATCTGTCTCTTGTAGTCTCTCTGCCAGGTCTCCTCCTGCTCCCAACTCCCTGGGGTCCACCTGGGATGGGGGGAAAAGGGCTCTCTCTCCAAGGCTGTACCAATCCCAGGAAAGGTTCCAGGACGGAACTCAGAGAGGCTTGTGTGGAGTCCCAAGTGCAGGCCAGCCAGGTGGCAGAAAGGGGTCAGGGATCAAAGGTCAAGGGCCATTAGGGGCTTGCTTTCTCCCAGGCTGCAAGAGGAGGGCAAAGGCGGAGCTTTCAGACCCATGTGTGTCCCCCAGGAGGAAAGAGGCGGGCCTGAGAGTTGGCACTCCAGGAGTCTCCAGGCACATGGGGGACCCTGGGAAGCCTCGCTCGGCATCACGGTCTTCAGCTCGGATTGGGCTGGGCACGGTTGTCGAGTGCCCGGCGGCCGGCGCAGGCAGGCCCAGGCCCCCCGCGTGGGGGCGGCTCTTACCGGCAGCGCCTGCTGCTGCAGGATGATGGGCGCCGACTGGTGGCGGTTCTTCTCCAGCTCTGCCCGCAGCCTGGAGTTTTCCGCCAGCAGGACTGAGTACAGGTCCATAGGCAGGTTCTCTCCTGTCGGCCCCGGGGGAAGACCAGAGGCGGAGAGCATGGGGAAGGCTGCAGACGTGGCCACAGCTCTTCGTGAGATAGGCTTTCCTGTCGGCCTGTCCCCAGCCTGATCTGCCCCAGCATTTTGCTCCATTCTGCCCCTCCTCTGCTCCCAAGCCTTCAATGGCTCCCTGCTGCCAGGGGAATCAGATCCACATGCCTCAGCCCATCATTCTAGGCTCTTTAGAATCTGACCCCCGTGCTCTCCATAACCACTCCCCGGCCTTTGGTCCTGGGTCGATTTTAGCTCTTCACCTCTCTCTCTCCTCCCTTCTCTGCTCCTGCCATTGTCACTCCCTGGGCCTTTGCCCGCCCTAGACTGCCTTCCTTCTCTCATCCCACTCTGGGATGACCTCGGGGTTCCTGAAAGGCAGCCCCAGCTTGCACAGTTTTCCAAAGGCCTTCTGAAATGCAGCCGCCCCCCACCACACACCCCCTTGCAGTGAAGGCTGCCACAGGGCTGGGCACATGGGGCTTCCCGGCTGGCGAGGCTGCACACATGGCTCAGGGAAATCCTCTGCCCGGGGCCGGCCCAGTACGGCTGGACCTGGTTCTCCCCCACCTCCCCCAGAGCCACCTCAGACTGGCCCTTCTAGGTGGCTCTGGTCAACGTCAGTGGAGGAAACAAACAAGAGCTGTTGGTTTTGTAGAAGCAGACTCTGAAGACAATGGGGAGATGAGGAAGTTCCAGAAGGGCCCGGGCAGCCCCTGCCTGCTCACTCCAGTCTGCGGGGCCTCTCTGTGGCTCTGAGCAGGGCCCGCTGTCTTTCTAGCCTGGGTCACACACTGTCCCCATGTGTCCCGAGGGGCTTCTTGGCAGGAGAACAGAGCCCAGGGGACCTTTGGGAGCCCCTCACTGCCTGCCTCAGTAGCGGGGTAGCATCCTTTGCCCCAGTTCTGCTCCTGAAGCCGATGCTCCAGGAAGGCTGGGCCCCCAGGGATGGGACAAAAGCTGCGGAGCGGACTCACCCATGGTGGGCTTTCCCTGTAGCCTGTTGAGCAGGGGCTCCTTCCTGTCCCGCAGCTTGTCCTCCAGCACCCGCTCCATCTTCTCGATCACCTGGAGGGCAAAGCACAAAGGCTGGGCTGGCCGCGGGGTTGGGGGTGGGGGGTGGCGCACCTCCCTGCCCAGGGCTGGCGCCTGGCGGGCTGGTCCCTGTGGCACCTGCCTTCTCCTGGTGCCGCACGGTCTCCTCCAGCGCCTTCATCTTCTGTAGCTTGTCCTGGTACCGCTTCAGCAGCGCCGCCTGTGGCTGCTGAGCCTGGTGCAGGAGGAGCAGCTCCTTCTCTCGATCATTCTTCTGATGGTGGGGGAGGGAAGGGGGGAAAGAAGGGGTGCCCGGGGTCACCCTTGGCCCCTCTGCTGAGTCTCCCATTGTAGTGCCCCCTTCCCTCCATGCCTCTCTCCCTTCTGCTCCCAGACACTGCTCTGGACACCCCCCAGCTCCCTTCCTCTCTGCTTCCCCTGCCCTATGCCCCCCAACCCCCAGCCCCAGCTCACTCGAATCAGCTCATTCTGCAAATGCTGCACTTTGTCCCTCAGTTTCTTCAGATCCAGCTCACTCAGCAGCAGTTTCTGCTTCATGGACACTGGTGGGGTGGGGGAGCTCTCTCAGGGAAGAGGCATCTCCCAGCTCAGCAGAGCTGGGGGGCAGGGACAGATGTCTCTCAGTCCTGGGGCTCGAGACAGGACTGGAGTCTCCAGTCCCCATCCCGGAGAGGACCCCACTAGTGTCCAGGAGCAGGCACGGCTGGGAAAGTGTCCCCACCACCCCGGTCTGCAATCCAGAGCTGGGCTCGGGCAGGCACCCAGATGCTCTCAGTGGCCTGTATACCCTCATCCAGCTTCTGGGCTTTGTTGGCGTTGTCCTGCTCCTCTTCCGCCTCCTCCTGGGTCAGCTGGCTCCTCAGCATGCGGTTCTCGGCCTCCAGCATACTGGTGTGTTTCCGCAGCGACAGGATGTCCTCTGCCATCTTCTGCATGGCCCGCCGGTAGTTGTTCATCTCCTGTGGGTCCCAGAGCTCAAAACCAGGTCCCCAGCCCCACTGGGGCCCCCACCCCACATCTGCACCCCCACTTGGAATTCAGCGAGCCAATGAGCAGAGTGAACCCCAAGCTGTACCCTTGAGTCTTAGCAACTCCTTAACGGGGTGGTAATGACACGACCTCCACCTCTCCTGGCCATGGGAGAGCAGTCATGCCAATGGTCTCTCCCAGGGGCCATGTCTCTTCTCGTGATGCCAACGAGGAGGGACCTGGGGCTTGCACCCCTGTTGAGGGAGCTCATGAGTGGCAGAGACTTGAAAGGCTCCGGGGCTGGGTTTCCAGGGCCTGGCTAACTCCAAGCCACTTCTCTGCCTTCTCCTTCACCCTTTTCTAATCCCTGTCCTTACTCATGTCACTGAGAACCTGGAGAAGAACCTTCAGAATTCCCAGTGAATGCTACTTGGGAGTTGAGCCCAGGCCCCATTCCCCCGACCACCCCGGGGTGCAGGAAGAGACATCCGGTAGGCCCAGGAGACCCAGATAAAGACTTGAGGTCAGGACTGGGATCCAGCTACAAGATCTAGGGTATGAGGTGGGGCCAGGCTGCCGGGCTCTGTCTTTGATTAGGAGTAACAATAGTCCTAATATCTGGGGCTCACTGAGCACCAAGTGTGCCTCTGGGTTAGGCCCTCCCTCACTTAGTCCCCACACCAAGCCTCACATCCAGCCTGTCATCATCCTCATTGCACTGATGGGGAAACCAAGGTCCAAAGAGGCGTGTAACTTGCTCAGTCACAAAACTAGTGAGTGGCGGAGAGAGGGTCTGAGACCCAGGCCTGCTGGTCCTCGCTCGAGTCTGTGTTCTTAAGTGCTATGCAATCCTGCCCGATGCCCCCATCCAGGGAAACTGCACAGCATGCTGAGAAGTGCTAGGAGCAGCTTCCCAAAAAGGATGGTTGGTGTAATCTCAGTTTGGGAAAAAAATTAACGTCTGCCTTCATGTGTGCATAGGAGATGAATGGGCTACACTAATGGCATTTGCTTTGTAGTAAAAAAAAATTCCCTACTGTTATTTATAAAAAAGTTTTTAAAAGGGAATTTCTTAAATATAAATATAAAAGAGGCACTCAAAATGTGAGGCCAGGAAGGTTGATAGAGGGGGAGGAGGTGGGAGGGGGGGAAGTGAGGCGGGCAGAGTTTGCTAAGCCCTGGCAGCCGGTGGCCCTTCTGAAGCTGTGGAGGCCTGGCATGTGGGAGTGGGGGCTCCTCGGCCGGGCCAGGCCCCCAAGTTTCCAGGAAGCAGAGTTCGGCCCCCAACTCCCTCCTGGGCCCCCTGCTGACTGGGGCTGTGGCCTGGCTCCCAGCCACTGCCTCCAACCTGCTGCATCTGGGCCACTGGTTCCTTGGAGAAGGGTTCCCAGACAGCGGGGACTCATCAGACACCACTTGTCACCTGCCACTGTCTAGCTTTCTGGCCGGACTCCCTCTAACTGGTGCCAGTGCAGGGTCCATCTCCCCAGCACCTGCCCCAGTTGAGTTCCAGGCCTTGGCGCCTCTAGATCGGCCCATCTGGTGTCCTTGGGCAGCATCGTTAACTAAGCGACTCGGCCTAGAGACTGCACACACACACACAGGGCCTTGTGGTCAGGCCTTGGTCAGAAGCCCAGTGTGGCCACTGACTCACTGAGCCTAAACAGGCCCCTCCAGCTTTCTGAGCCTCAGAGCCCTCTGAAAGGCTAAGCACAGGTTGCCTCGGAGCTTAGAGTCAGCGCGTGCGGCAGCTGGCTCAGGCCTTGTGCAGGACAGGTAGGCCCTGGATTCTCATCCCATTCTCATCCTGCCCCATTTCTGCTCAGCAGCTGCTTTAATCATCAGGTCAGACCCCTTCCTCCTCATCCTTGTTTCCCAACATGCATGACAGACAGTGCCCACCCCTCTGCTGGGCCCTGCATCTTCCATCTATGGCAGCCCTGAGACTGACACGGGTGTGGGAGGCCCAGGAGACTGTCAAGAGGAAGCACGTGTTATTTTGGAAAAGGAAATTTGTCCCCCTTCTCCTTCCCCAGCCCTGTTTCGGCTTTCATTATGTCATCTCTGAATAATTACAGCAGTATCCAAATGGGTTTCTTTGCTTGTAGGATTAAATCTCCTAGAGGAACACACACACACGTGCAAGAGTAGTGTTCCAGGATGCTCAGTGAGTTCAGGCCACAGACTTCTGCCGGGGCTGCATGGAGTACTCATAGAGAGCGACCTCGGTAGATTGTTCTGACACAGAGAGATGTCGGCACAATATTGTTAAATAAAAAAAGCATGTGGCAAATTGCTATGATCCCATCCAAAATGTGTGTGTGTGTGCGCACGCGTGTGTGGGCGTGCATTGCATACAGCTATATAAGAACAGTGGTTGCTGCTCTGTTTGGGAGGGGAAAGGAATACTTGTTTCCTTTCTAATCATATATATTTTTAATATAATATATAAAAGTATATATATTTGAGAGAGAGAGGGAGAGAGTGTGTGAATTTGGGGGGGTGGACAGGCAGAGGGAGAGGGAGAGAGAGAATCTTAAGCAGGCTCCACGTCCAGTGTGGAGTCCAACATGGGACTTGATTTCCAGACTCAGATTGTGACCTGAGCCGAAACCAAGAGTTGGGCGCTTAACCAACTGAGCCACCCAGGTGTCCCTCATTTTATATTTCTAATAAGAATATATCCATATATTATTCATCTAATTTAAAATAATTTTAATCTAAACACAATGGGGGGTCATACCATGTTCATGGATTGAAAGATGCAATATTTGAAGAATTAGTTCTTTCCAAAATTGATTTATAGACTTAATGCACTTCTGATCAAAATCATAACTTGTGTGTGTATGTGTAGAAATAGACAAGCTGATTCTATAATAGGTGAGAAATAAAAAGGGCAATATAACTAAAATATTTTTGAAGAGGAACAGTTGGGAAGACTTACTTTATCAGCTATCAAGACTTATGATAAAGTAACAGTAATTAAGACAGGGTAATATTAGTGCAAAGATTGATAAGTAGGTCAAAGAAGTAGAATAGAGAGTCTTGAAACAGACCCACATATATATGGACTCTGAACTCAAGACAAGGATGGTATTCAAGGACTGCAGGGATAAGTCTGTGATTGTAGCAGATGATACTGTGTCAGTATGATACCCACATAGGAAAGGGGAAACTTGGCTGCCATCACATATCATAAACAACAATAAATTCCAGAAAGATGGAGATCTAAGTATAAAAGGCAAAACAGTAAGGATTCTAAAAGACAAGGATAAGAATATCATTAAGAACTTCAGGGAGGAAAAGCTTTTGAACAGGACGTGAAAAAGCACAAGTCAGAATAGAAAAGATTGATAAATTTGGTCCATTTAAGTTAAGAACCTCTAGGGGCGCCTGGGTGGCTCAGTAGTTAGGTGTCTGCCTTCGGCTCAGGTCATGGTCCCAGGGTCCTGGGATCGAGCCCCGCATCGGGCTCCCTGCTCCGCGGGAAGCCTGCTTCTCCCTCTCCCACTCCCCCTGCTTGTGTTCCCTCTCTCTCTGTCAAATAAATAAAAAGTCTTAAAAAAAAAAAAAAGCAACAAAAAAAAAGTTAAGAACCTCTATTCATGAAAAGACATTATTAAGGGAGTGAGTGGGCAAGACCAGTAGGAGATATTTGCAACACGCATGACAGACCGCCGGCTCATATTCAGATATAAAAATAACTCCTACAAATAAGGAAGAAAAAGACAGACCCCTCAAGGGAATAATGGACAAAAGATTGAACTGGCACTTGACAGAATAAGTCAATAAGCATGTGAACTGGTGCCCACCGTCTTTAGTCATTTAAAACCACAACGAGGTATTACTATACGCCCACTAGAATGACAAAAACAGAACAAAACAATCCCAACCGTGTCAAATGTGGGTGAGGGTGTGGAACACGTGGAACACTTCTTCACTGTTGGGGGACCTGAAGGGCCACCACCACTTTGGAGAACCCTCTGCTTACAGGATGCCATTCAGGTTGAATGTAGGCATAGCCTACGATCCTGCAATTATACACCTGGGTGTATACCCAGCACAAACGCATGCATCCACGCATCAAGAAGCAGGTGTGAGAACATTCCTCGCAGCATTATTTGTATTAATCCCAACTGGAAATCACACAAATGTCCATCACAGTCGAACAGAGACATACAATGGAATATAAACAGCAGTAAAAATAAATGAGCGCCAACTACATGAAACCAAGGGCAGGAAGCTCTCACACATAATCTCAAGCAAAAGAAGTCGGACACAAAGTACCTACCCAATGATTCCATAGAGATTTGGCTCAAATTGAGCTCCCCCAACGTTGGATCCCTGCTGTTTGAGAAGTCTGCTTCTCCCTCTCCCTTTGCCCTTACCCCCGGTCCCGCCCTCTCTTCCACACGCACGGGAACACAAGCAGGGGGAGAGGGAGAGGGAGAAGCAGGCTTCCCGCGGAGCAGGGAGCCCGATGCAGGGCTCGATCCCAGGACGCTGGGATCATGACCTGAGCCGAAGGCTGACGCTTAACGACTGAGCCACCCAGGCGCCCTAAATGAATAAAAAACAAAACAAAACAAAAAAAACCCCAGGCAAACTGAAGCACTAGAATTAGAAGTCAGGGTGTGAGATCTATGCGGGGAGCTGGGGTGGGCGTGACTGGGAGGTGTGGGGGGAGTTTTTGAGGTGCCAACAGTGCCGCACCTCTTGACCTGTGGGACACGCGGGGCTGACACATGTATGTTCACTTTGTGATAAATCACTGAGGAGAAGACATTTATGTTTTGTGCATTTGTCTGAATGTGTGTACTCCACATAAAAGAGTTAAAAACATTTAATGAATTAAAAAATAAATGAATCCTGGCTCAAGTCTGCTTAAGTCCACGAAGCTTCCACACCACAGTTCTGCTCTGGGGACCCTCCAGCTCTCAGCGACACTAGGTTCCTCTCAGCCCTGAGTTTTGGATGCTCCTGGAGGGGC